AATGTAGTTGGATATCTAGTTGGCAAGACTTGATCACTGATTGAATGTGGGGGAAGCTGAGAAGAGAGGTGAAGCTAACTCTGAGCACATCTGAGTGACAACCTGGAGGTTCCTGGATATACGAGGGGGCAGACAATGCCCTCTGCCTATTTCTACATCCTTGGCTAGTTCCACATCTTCCCTGCCTGACCCAGCCTCTCCCATTCCTGCTTATCTTTGGAAACCCTGCTCCAGCCCATGTTCACAGACAGGAGAAGGCTGGATCCCTTCCCAGAGACACTGGAAGCACCTTCCCAACCTGTCTGCATAGCCTCCTTTTCTTGTGTGACTCTCATTGTATGGTGTCATGATCCCAGGAGTTTCATTCCTAGATGCTCATGTGCATAAATTCCTTCCTCAAGGACAAGACCTGGGTCTTACCATTCTGTTGACCTGCAGGAGAGTCTGAGAAAGCATAAATGAAACATGGACTAGACCAAGGGTAGCAGATAGATGGGTTTCATCTCAGCTGATTGTGGCGGGCTGCCTGGAGTGCTGTGTAGAGGGCTCTGAGGCTGCATCCAAGCTTAGCTGCAAAGAATGCTGTGATCTATTAGTGGTGTCTGGCAAGGCACAAGAGGGAAGAGTAGCAGTATGTGTGTCACTTTTGTGCAGTCTCTGGATGACAAGAATCTGTGTGGTTTTGACAATACATAGTTGTTCTCAGGAAAAGTGAAAGATGATGTCCAAGTGTCTGGTGTGGCCAAGGGTAGAAACAGATTAGAAATAACTTTTAAAGAGCCACTTTTTAAAGTGGCTTTAAAAGAACTATAGACACAGGCTATCCTCAGCATTGAATTTCAACCTTCATACCACTCTCCGCTTGTGTGCCTTACATAATGATGCCCCTAAACCACCTTTTGTACCCTGACTCGAGGTTCTCAAACCTCAGCTTACAAATGATTTTTTCTGCGCTAATGCCTGCCAGCCAGTGGTTTCATTTTGGCAGCCTAACTCTTTGTCTGCACTGTGATCTTTGGGCAATTGATTTGAATATTTTATTTCCCTTGGTTTTATTTCCCTTGGTTTGTGGTTTTATAAAAGAAGTGTAAAAATGAAGGTGTGGATACCAGTGGAGGGAATGTAGTTCTCCTGAATATAATGTAGAAGCAGAGCATCGATTCAGAACTCTAAACGATGGAATTGCTTCAAAATTATCCTCAGCCATCTAATAAACCATGTCACTGTAGTAATTGAGGGGCAGTCTTCTGTATATGGTGCCTGGGCACAGTGAGGGTACATTTGGCCAGGTTATAAGTGACCCTCTTAATGACACCCCACTGGTTCGGTCCACCCAATATAGACTGGACATAGCATAACCAGCAAGTGTAGTCACATCAAAGTACTCCCACAGGTGAAGGACAAATTTTTATGATTTTTGAGTTGTTCTTATGTTTTACACAGTAATGTTATTTTCCTTAAATTTTGTGAGCATTGGGAATTAAGATAGCTGAGTTCCAAATATTATGTATCTGGAACAGATCAGCTCTTGGACATTCTGGATAGTTAATCTTCTACCACACAATACAGACAAAAGTGGAAACTACTAAATGAAAGCAATGGGTTTTTAGCCTCACCCTGATGCTTTATAGACTTAAGCTGATTGGCTTCGGGAGGGGGTGGTAATTTTGAAGGAAATGAATCAAGAATGTATATGAAATGCCAAAGATCTATCATAGATGCTGCATACATACAAAGCTAAGTGAAACTGGAGATTTTATAGCACTTTTAGCTCTCTGCAGAAACCATCAAGCCTTATTGATTACTGGCCTCTTATTTTTATTAATATTAATATTGATTTCTGCTCTTTTATAATATATTTGACCTACACCTTTTCTGAATTACATTACCTATGATAGCAAGAGATTGTGTCGATTATGTGACGTGTCAATTGAGCTGATGGTTGATTTGGAAACAGGGATGCAGAAATTGGTGGTGCGGGGGCCATGAGTGGGCTGGGGAGGTTGCCATCATTGCAGAATAGAGACATTTTCTGAATAAAATAATCCAGCCTTTCAGGGTGTGTCCACAGGACCCACTGTCACCAACCTTTGCTGGTTATAATTTCCTATTTTTGAGGACTGTGTTTAAAATCTCTGCTTTGTCACTTACAAACTGAATGACTTTTCTGAGAGCATCGATTCAGAACTCTAAACAATGGAATTGCTTCAAAATTATCCTCAGCCACCTAATAAACCATGTCACTGTAGTAATTGAGGAGCAGTCTTCAGTACATGGTGCCTGGGCACAGTGAGGGTACATTTGGCCAGGTTATAAGTGACCCTCTTAATGACTCCCCACTGGTTTAGTCCACCCAATATAGATTGGACATAGCATAACCAGCAAGCGTAGTCACATCAAAATGTGAAAATAACACAGGGTTTGCATGGCTGTCATGAGTGTTGCAGGTTGTGTACATAGGTAGCCTGGTGGTTGAATGTGTGACCTTGGAGTCAGGCAGGACTTGCCGTGACCCCCATGTCTGGTTGCCATTCATTCACTGGGCAATCCTGGGCAAGTTATGAGTAGCTTCTCTGACCTTTGTTATGTGTAAAAAGATAATCATGCCTACTCATTCATATTGAATGCTTCGTGTGTGGAAGTGCTAAGTAAATGCAGCCATTGTTATTACCACGTATAAAGGGCTGGGCATGGAGTGGGGATGTCTTGTTGCCTTCTTCCTTCCATCCCCATTTTCCAAGTCCTGAACTCCTCATCATCCTTTATGGGCTGACACCTCCTTGGAGAAGCCCTTCTGGACTGCTCTTGCAGTGAGGGACTCACTCTTTCTGTGCTCTTCCATTCTTTTTGCTCCCCTGATGACATAAGGCATGACCTCCTGTCTATAAGTCTTTCTTTCCTACCAACTGGAAGTTGCTTGAAGCAGAAATTTCCCTCCTGTGATTCAGTCTTATTTTTACCTTCCAGGACCTAGCTCAGTGCTTGGTGCATGAGAGTGTTTTGGTGAGCAAGTGAGTAGGTGGATGAGCTGAGTGAGTAAAGGAATATATGAATGAACAAATGGGTGGAGGACTGAAGCACTGGTCAAAGAAACCCTGGGTTGAACGGGAGTAAGAGGCTGACTTAGAAAGCTGGAAGTCTCAGGGCATAGATTCTAATATCTGGGAAATGGGAGTCTCTGAACCAAAGCTTGCATGCATATCTGCATCTGAGCACATTTGGAGGGAAGGTCCTTAGATTCTCACAAGTGTCCCTGGACCCCAAATGTCAACAAGTTGCTGATCTGAACAGATGGAGAGGGCAGGCCCCACTGAGAGGACAGAACCAAGTGATTGGAGGAGTGAATGTGACAAAAGAGAGAAGTTAAAACTGGCAGGACACTGAGTCCTGCAGGGACCTCAATTAAGGGGTGTGGCCAGCGCCACAGGCAGCCCCTGGGACAGGAACTCCTACAGTCCCTGCGGGCCTTGATGCCTCCTTCTAGGCAGCTCTTGTGCAAGGAAGCTCAGAGGAGGTTTGTGTCTTTGACTGTCTTGATTCTTATCCAGAATCCACTAGCTAAAAGGGTCTCTCGGGTTCATTGGGTCCAATCACCTGCCTCCAAATAGACTAAGCCCAAATGGTTCCAGGCAGGCCCTAGGTTTTTACTGCCCCCAAAGTCTTCTACCATTTTCTTCCTTTCCCTCCCTTCTTCTCACCTTCATTATTTTATCCTGTTCTATCCTATCCCATCCTATCCTATCCTATCCTATCCTATCCTATCCTATCCTATCCTATGCCATGCTATCCTAGCCTAGCCTAGCCTATGCTATCCTATGCCATACTATGCTATCCTATAATATGCTCTACTCTGCTCTGCTATCCTATCCTGTGCTATGTTATCCTATGCTACTCTATGCTGTCCTATGCTATGCTATGCTGTACTATCCTATGTTATGCTATGCTGTGCTATCCTATGCTATGCTATCCTATGTTATGCTATGCCATCCTATGCTATGCTATGCTATGCTATGCTATGCTATGCTATGCTATGCTATGCTATGCCATCCTATCCTATCGTACATTAGTCTAGCCTATACTATCCTGTGCTATCCTAGTCTCTCTTTAGCTATGAATACTTAACTTTCAGTAAGAGCTGTGGCTTTTAAAATATGAGTATTGACCCAATAGTGAATTCTGAAGTGGATTTAGAACATCATGACCAGCTTATTAAAAAAAAGAATATGATACAAAATATTAGCATGTATTACACATGTGTTATTTTGTGAAACTTCCTTTTCAGCTCTACATGTGGTGGATTGTGATGTATATTTCTTTCTGTGTTGTGGTCAAAAAAATTCAACAAGCATCACTCTCAAGCACGTCACAGGCACTCAGTAGATAGCACCGAAAGACCTCGCCTTTGGTGAGGTATGAGGCAGGAGGACAGACCATGTTAGGGGTCACTTCTTGTTGCTGCACCAGGAAGCCCTTCTTTCCTTTACCCCCTCTGTGGCCCACTCCTGTCACCCCTGCTTCCTTTTCCTTTTTAATTTTATTTATTGTGGTAAGAACACTTAACATGAGATCTGCTCTCTTAACGTATTTGTAAGTATCCAATTCATTGTTGTTTACTGTAGGGGCAATGCTGTCCAGCAGGTCTCTGGAGCTGATGCATCTCACTACTGAAACTTTACACCTCTTCATTAGTAATGCCCCATTTCACCCCTCCCAGTTCCCCACAACTGCCATCCCACTCTTTGATTCTGTGAATTTGACTCTTTTAGGTACCTCACATGAGTGGAGTCATGCAGTATTTGTCCTTCTGTGACTGGCTTGTGCAGATGAATGGATCAAGCAAGTGTGGTCTATACACAGGGGGGAATGCTAGTCAGCCTTGGGAGACAGGGTCCTGGTGCAACATGCGACAACACAGATGCACCCAGAGGACGTTGTGCTGAGTGAAGTAAGCCCATTGCTCTCACCCTCTTCTTGATTCTCTCCTCTCCTCTTGTGCCCAGGTTGTATACGTGACCGCAACATTCCCCTACATCATGCTGCTGATCCTCCTGATACGAGGGGTCACATTGCCTGGGGCCTCGGAGGGCATCAAGTTCTACTTGTACCCTGACCTCTCCCGGCTCTCCGACCCGCAGGTAAGAGTCGCTTGCTCAATGTGCAGCATCAACCACCACCACTGGGAAGCCTTCTGCAGAGCCCCTGCCACTGGCCACTGGGATTCAACAGCTGGTTGAACAGTGGAAAGCCTGTGAACGCTTTCCCAGAATAATTTTAAATGCATAAATTTAATACGTAGGAAATCAAATATTTTAAAATACCGTTACCGAAACATTTTAAACAGACCAATTTGTGACATGGGGATAGATGTACATTTTAAAATGAGGACATTACATAGCCAGATCCAGCAGCAAGTCTGACGACTACTGTGACTTTAAAGCAGCAATGAGCATAAGTGACGTTTCAAGATAGCTATACCATGATATGAAAACATCTGGAATTTCTGTTGCTAACAGGACTGCAGTTTGTTGCCTGCATCTAAAATTGAAACAAATACTACATTTCAGTTAGAAGTTAACTAAAAATTAAAAAAACAACAAAAAAACATTTCTACCCCAAATCACAGATCTCTGCAGTAGTGCCTCTTGTTGAGAGAAACTGGGTCTTTGTTCGTGATTGATTTTCTTTGTGGGAGTAGCTCATAGTAAAAAAAAGAGTTGGAGAAACTGGCTAAGCTATCAGTTGTCTTTGGTAAGGCATTTGTTGTTCTGAGTGGTGAGTAGTAATTGTGCCTAAGGTTCTCTAAGTGGGCACGTGGCGGTGTGCCCTGGACTATATTAAACAGATAAAACCAGAACATCTCACAAGCCCGGTGGTTCTCAACCTCAACTACATGTCAGAAGCTCTTGGGGAGCTTTTGAAAACGTGAATTCCCAGAGCACAACCCAGACCAATTAAAATGAACTCTCTGGTTGCAGGTGTCAGTATCTTTTAAAGGCCTCTAGGTCATTCTAGTGTGTGAAGTAACTTAATCAAAGACATTTGAGCGGGCGAGCAGGCACTAATTTTTCTATTAAAACACAGAACACATGGAATCAGTACAGTTTCCAAACAGGAAATGAGGCTTGCAGGAAATTTCAAGTCTGCGATCTGTGGCTTCCAGCCACCTCCTGTTAGGGGAGCTTGAGAGGGAAGCATTTGTTGGGGGGATGGTTAGTGCAGCTCAGAAGCCCCTCATCACGGTGGGCGGAGTGGGAGGTGAGCTCATTTTTGTCTCAGTTTGCCATGCCTTGCAGGGCCTTGAGGCTGAGGATACCACTAGGCACCTGCATGGCATTCTGAATTGCAGGCAGAATCCCTGGGAAGAAGGAAATTAGCTTCAAATGTTGGCTTTGCCAGTTCCTGATCTCTGATGGCAAAGGCTCAGTTGAAGGAGCAGTTTTGGAGAACATATTCTACAAACCACTGGTCGGTCTGTTTTTATGATGGCCATGCATTCTGCCTTGATCCAAGACAGATTTCCCCTTCTCTCCTCTGCTTATGGGCTTCTTTTTTCCCGGTAGTCATTCAAGAGCCACTGAGTGTCACCCAGAGTTTCCAGATCTGGCTGATCATCCGAATACCTCAGAACTGGTTAAAAATGCTGATTCCAGGCTCTACTCCTGGAGATCCAGTTGCAGTGGGTCTGTGATGGCACCTGGGCATCCGTATTACTAAGAACCCTCAGAGGCGATTCTTATAATCAAAAAAGTTTGGGAAAATCCAGGTGGCACCTAAAACTTCAGAGCCCTGCACACACACACACACACACACACACACACACACACACACGCACACACACAGAGAGAGAGAGAGAGAGAGAAAGAGAGAGAGAGAGAGAACGAACACAGAAGTGAGTCAGGCCAGGCCATTTTCTACCATCTCCTTCCTTTTAGGCCCTGGCCACCAGCCAGTATTAAGTAGTGGAGAGCACATTGGTCTGAGAGTTGGGACTTGGGTTCTCCTGGTTCTGCCATGGATCCTGAGTAACTGTGGACAAGTTTCTTCTCCCTTCCCTCTTTCTGGACCTCAGTTTCTCCACTGGTGACATGAAAGAGTTTTCAAAATGGATTTGGAGAGTCCCTGCTTTTCCATGAGCATCGGCTGGCAAACTCTGGCCTCTAGGCCACATCCAGCCCTCTGTCCATTTTTATAAATAATGTTTTATTGGAACACAGCCTGTTATTTGTTTACATATTATTGTCCATGGCTGTTCTAGCACTCAAAGGTAGAGTTGAGTAGTTGAGACAGAAACCCTGTGGACCTCTGTGTCAGGGGGTGGTCCCGAGATTACCTACATATTTGGTAATTTAGAAGGATTCACAGGACACAGAAGCAGTTATACTCATGGATGTGGTTTGTTTCTGTCAGCAGTAAGACAAAGACAGTCACCAGGCAGAATGTGGAGGAATCCATACACAGGTTTCTCACTTTCCCTCCCTCCTGCCTGGAGCAGGTATGCAGACTGTGTTCCTTCCTCCAGCAAGGAAATGCGGCAGCATGCGTGCAGGGTTTCTGCCCAGAGAAGCCTTCCTACAATGCAGAGTCCAGGTTTTTAGTGAAGGTGTTTTATTGACTGCATAGGTACTCCCTGCCTCCATGATCAGCCACAACCCTCTGACTTCCAGACTGTCAGAGGAAACACAGGCATTTACCAGAAATCACACTGCTGTACAAATGGTCTAAGCAGGCAGCCTTTATGGGATTCAGTGTTCCAGGCATACAAAACAACCATGTCACTTAGTACCACAGGGAGCATCCTAAAAGCCCAATTCCCAGACACCAGGCAAGAGCCAACACTACAAATGGGCCCAACTTTGGAGCGACATTGGGCCTGCTCTGTTGACTCTTTCCTACAGGCCTGCAAAATCTCAAGTGTTTACTGCTTGGCTCTTTCTAGAAAAAGTTTGCTGACAGTGCACTGGAGTACCCTCAGGGGCGTGTGAGCAGGGGCTAATGGGCCCCACTCCACCTGACCCCCGGCTCCGTCCTTATTGCTCTCCATCCCTGCTGCCACCAGCCTAGTCCAGGCCACCACCATCTCCCACGTGAAAACTGTAGCAGCCCCCTAACTGGTCATCCAGAAACGGTTCCTTGACCATCTAGGCCACTCCCCACCCAGCAACAGAGGGATCTTTTTGAAATGTAAATCCGATGGGCACCTCTTTTGCTTAAATCTCTCCTGGGATTCCCTGTGGTCTTTGGAACAAGATCCAAATGGTGGGGTCCCCACTGTCCTCTGTGAGCTGCCTCCTGGCTGCATCCCCTACCACTCTCCCCCTCTTTCAGCTCATTCCAGATATTGGCCTCCTCTCTGGGCCTCCAATAGACATGGCCTTTCTAACTCAGGGCCTTCACACGTGCTGTTTCTCTGCTGGAAACACTCCTTCTTTCTTCCCCAGACCCGCCTTCCCCACCTTGGCTGAGCAACCATCCACTCATCTTTTTTTTTTTTTTTTTTTTGAGATGGGGTCTTGTTCTGTCATCTAAGCTAGAGTGCAATGGTGCGATCTCGGCTCACTGCAACCTCCGCCTCCCAGATTCAAGCAATTCTCCTCCTCAGCCTCCCGAGTAGCTGGGATTACAGGTGTGCGCCACCACACCTGGCTAATTTTTGTATTTTTTTTTTTTTAAGTAGAGGTGGGGTTTTGCCATGTTGGCCAGGCTGGTCTTGAACTCCTGAGCTCGTGATCCACCCACCTCGGCCTCCCAAAGTGCTGGGATTACAGGTGTGATCCACCGTGCCCAGCCCACCCATCCTTTAGGACTTAGTTTAAACATCCCTTTCTCAGGCAAGTCTTTTCTGACTGCCCAACCATGCACCACCCCCCAGCACCCCATACTTATTTTCCAAAGCACCTACATATCCTATATATTTACAGTAAAATATTTGTGTGTATATATAATTGTGTGTGATCTTTATTTGTTCAATGTCCATTTATTGTTGAACAGATATTTTCTGAGTGCCTACTCTGTCAGAGATTATTGTAGGCATTGACAGTTTTCCACAGGGTGGCCACTGGCTGAGAAGGCAGCTTGGGAGCAAGGTCTGTATCTGCCTTTCCTACCATTGTATCCTTAGTCCCTGATGAGCTCAATGCCTGGTACATAGTAGGTGTTCCTTACATGTTTGCTGAATGATAGGAATAAAGGCTATTTTCATTTTTCACGAGAAGGTTCTCTTTAACAAAAAGTCTAATGACCTCCAGATCACCAAATCCGTGAGCTGTAATGTTTTTTGATTCTCTATCAGTGATGGCTAGGAAGCGTGCATGTGTGTTTGTGTGTGTCCCAAAAGCAACTATGTCCCCAAAAAGCAACTGCTGATTTTCTGTGGCATAAATAAGGATAGCGACCCCAAGAGGGAAAGAAAAACAAAACCCCATGTATGTTGGTGATTTTTGGAAGCTGGGGTATGCTGTAGGAAGAAGCCCAATGTGGCCTGATTCCAACTGTCCCCATTTGTGGATACCTAGCCCATGAAGAAGCAGGAAGCACTGGTTTCCATTCCTGTTCTCCCGCAGTGGTGATATGACCTTAAGTAAGGCCCCTAGCCTCTAGGGGGCCTTGTCCCCTCCTCCCTCAGTCACAGGTTGCACTTGCCTGCCCCAGCAGATGGCCTTGAAGGTGGAGTCATTTGATGGCCCAGTCATGGAGAAATGTTTTTTCTTTTCAATTATGTATGTATGTTAATAGGCATTAGGAATAAAACCAGGACATAAACCATATCAAAACCATGGCTTTATTGCTATTGTTGCTAGAATGAAACTATATATATGATATGTATGATCTCATACACACACATATATACATACATACATATATATACAGGTTGAGTATCCCTAAACGCTCCAACGTTTGAAACTTTCTGTGTGCTGACATGGCTCTCAAAGGAAATGCTTCAGTGAGCACTGGAGCTCATTGGACATATATATGCCATGTATACGATTAAAAGTGAGGCTAATTTAAAGGCAAATGTTAAAAAATTATTAAAACAAACATGGACATGACAAATATAGTGCAGGTGGAAGGTGGCTGGCCAACATCTGAGGCACGGTGCTGTGGGGGTAGAGAAACATCCTAAGCTAGTCTTAGGACT